GCAAAGCTACACTAAGAAACCCTGTCTCGAAAAACCAAAAAAAAAAAAAAAAAAAAAAAAAAGTGTGCCACCACAGCCCAGCTCAGCAAAGCATTCTTATTATGTCTAATTATGTGCATGTGTGACTGCAGATGCCAGTCATCTGATCCCCTGGAGTTTATAAGTGACTGTGAGCCATCTGGCATGCGTACCGGGACCCAAATTCAGGTCCTCTACGAAGGCAGTACTCACTCTTGACTGCTCAGCCATCTCTCAGCACCTCCAGGCTCTCTGAAAAACTTGAGCCTTCAAGCTATATAAGGACTGACACTTAATTCTTTGAGCCATCTAGCTCTCTCTGACCAAGGACAAAGCAACATGACAAAAGTAATAAAATGGAAGGGGTTCATATAGTTTGTGGTTTTTTGGGGTTTTTTTTTTGTTTGTTTGTTTGGTTTTTTTTGATGAACTGACTATCCTGGAGGAGAACTTGTGACCTTGTGTGATGAGATCATTTCCTTACCGGTGAAACCACTTACCTGCCTTGTGCCGCCTGTTGTCATTCCTGTTCCCAAGTACTAACTGTCATCTCACCCGTTTCCTCTGAGGTTTTAAAAGCATAGGGGGACAATCTGCCAACAGAGCATGCTCTGTGTATGCTTTGGAAGCAAAAAGTACTGGCGCGGAGCTCTGGGTGTCTCGTGTCCTGGTGATTCCATTTCTTTACAGAATAGTTTTAAACAGTGCATCATGTAAATCAAAGTGCGATTATAAATGGTAAGCTGTCTCACTAGACACTTTTGAGAGTTGGACTTAAGAGTTTACAAGTTTGTTCTCCCCAACTCTGACCTCCAGTGTTCTCAGTCTTACATCATTGAAATGGTGCACGCTAGGTACTGTGGAGCACAGTGGGCTGGATCGGTTCTGCCTGGCTCTTTCTGGGCTCAGTGGCAATTCTGGAGTTGTGACTTCCATAGGAAGGGACACAGTGGGTAGTGGCTGAGTTGATTTTATCTCTGAACTCGAGTATTTTCAGTTTACTGATGTACTCAGGTTCTGACTCACTGGAGAAGCTGCATATAAGATCTATGCCCCGTATGCCCTTAAAATGACAACTTACAAAGGTGTATGTTTCCAGCTATGGATCTGAACAATTTTAAACCCAGACTTGTGGAGGCCCACAGAGGCTTCCTAGTAAGACCTTGAGTCTGAGCCTGAGCTTGCTTTACCCAGCAGAGCTGCATAATGGAATGCTTTTGCCACGGGAGTGGTTACCACGTGTTCTGAAGGGTCTACACTTGGCAGTACGTTGTGCTTTGATATTGAAAGTGGGGAGGTCTTTTGCCTCATGGCATTGCATAAAAAGCCCTTTGGAATAAACCTCGAGGAGACTGGGTATTGACCCAGGGCCCTCCCAAAGCTATCCTGTGTCTCTGTCTTTCTTATTGTCTCTTTCTATCTATCATTTCCTCATTCCTCTCTCCTTCTCCTAAGACCCCTTCGTCAGGTTGGAGCTGGACTCCGGCAGACTCCCACACAGACTTGTTCAACTATTTTGATTGTTTAAATATAATACGATTCAAACTCCAAATACTTAAACCTTTTCATGATGCTCTTCAGGTACAATAGCTATTTGGTAATTTCATTCAGAAAATAGTATTTCTTAAGTTTTGGATAACACCAATCTGCAAACAACAAAACAAAACAAAAGAAACACCAAGAGCAGAACTTTCAGAAACACGGTTTTTATTCTCGCTGTGCTTTCTTGCTGCCCAACAGTCTTCGAAACGCTGGACTCTGAAGCTCGATGGTTCTGGACAACTGCTGAATTATATTGTTTTTAAAAAAATAACTACAATACACTTTTATTTCTTTATTCCTTTAAAAGCAGCATTATTTGCTCACATTTTGTAATAAAAATCTAAAATATTTCTAGTAGTCCCAATTGTCTTATATTTATTAAGTGTTGGCTTCATAAGATTTTCAGAAATAAGTGCACTTCTACAGAGAAAATTAATTTGAAATAAAATGAGAAATAATTGTGATCACAGCAAAACAGTTGCTTTTGAATTTTCTGAATTTTAACAACTCAAAGAGTGTGTCAGGTAGCCAGGGACTCTTCTGATCGTCAAGTAACTTACTTGTAGACCGCCAAAAGACAGGTAGCCATTACTCTTGACAGCACAGACTGTCTAAAGGTGTTCTACAGCAAAACATCAAATATAAATATGCTTCAAAATACTTAAAGATGTATACCTTGTGCAAAGCTATGCATGTGTTAGAAAGCTATGCTGTTATGGGAATAAGTGAGCCCCATCTAAGCCTCAGCAATGAAGAATCCTTTTTAATAGCCCACAGCTGGCATTTTCACTAGACTAACTGTCACCTATGGCTGAGCGGTCACTGCTGCTTCTGGACAGCTGAGGGCTTCACACACCTGCAGACTTGGCTGTTAACAACTGCCTTAACACGAAGGCTTTAATGGAAAGTGAATGTCTGTATTAAAACAGGAAACCAATAGATCTGGATCAGACACACTTTCTATATCCTTAGAAAAGCCCAAACCACATAGTAAAACTTCTTTGATTCAAAACAGAGACTAGAGAAAATATCACTATGCCCAGTGATTAGACAGACTTTTGTCACTTAAATTACATGATTCACCTGAGATATGGGGGATATACAATGGAAAGTCAGTTATTTGCTTCATCTGTACCCTGATTCATATTTTTAGCTTCCAAGGGGCAGGCACAGTCTTTCATTGCCTTTAGATAGTAGCTTAAGAAAGGCTTTCATGAGCAATCCCTGAAGACTGACTCCTGTTAACTCTAGCAAAGCAAACTTCTCAAAAGCCCTCCACCACCAGGAAAACTGTTCTTCCTGGTCACAACAGGGAGATCAAAGTGCTGTCCCTACATCACAGAAACGTAAGCTGGGTAGTTCTTCCTTACACTAGTCTCAACCTACCCGTTACCTGGACTTGACAACACTGTCACCCTGTGGAAGCCAGGTAGTTAATCACACCTGAGCTAGGGAACACAGTGCTCTGTGTCCAACCTCGTCACCCCACACTAGTAAAGTCCCATTCTATTGCTGGAGTCTCTGCTGCTGCACCTCCGAAACAGATGAGCTGGAGGAGCCCACACACCCCATATAAGTTAAGGCAGTTAATTAGAGTCATCAGTGAGATGAGATATCCACTGTGTCCAGTCTGCTTTCTCCAAACACTCAGTCACAGGATCAGGCTACAGTTAAGCCAGTAGACTAACAGGTGGAGAGTACTCACCAGACCCAGCAATTCACCAAAATACTTCAAGAGCTGATAGCCTTGATGGAAAAGGGGTCATCCAGCAGCAGTGTTTTAAAAGCTTTTGGAAATTTGTACAAGGCATTGCTCAGTCCCCCCATGAGACATTCCTCCTAATAAATCCTCATTCCATCTCCATCACAGATGATAAACATTAACCATTTGCTGAGAAGTTATTTCTCAACTACAACTTAGAACGTTGTTTTAGAGTCAAAATGCTGAGCAAGAAAAGATGATGCAATCATCGGGCAAATACCTGAGGAATCTGATGCTGACGTTTTCTGCCCAGTCTTCAGTCACTCCCGCCCCTCTCCGGCCTGTACCCGCTTCCTTTACTCCATTGTGGACTTCAACCACAGTGATGAACTAACCATGAACAGGGCTGGCCTGTTGAAAGTCTGTCACGTGGAGTGTAGCACCCCCTGGAAAGTGGAGTTCCACTCACCACTGACTGCCACTGTTCAGGATCTTTGGTTCATTGGAAAACAATGGCACTAAAGCTACCAAAGGAAACAAAGGGTACCAGCAATGACACACACTGACTTTGCAGAAAGCCCAAGTGAGTCTCACTCTTGTTCTCCACGTGTCCATTGACATGATCAGAAGTTTGACATTTAAAAAAATAGTTTAATAAAAATACACTAGGTTCTACAAGCAGCTTTCATGGTCATTTATGAAACTCAACTCACCATCACCCAGTTAAAATAACGCCTGTCCTCTTGTTAAAAAAGAAGTCCTTGTATCACAAGAAAAGTAACTGACATTTGCTGAGTACAGTAGTACATCTCCCTACGTGTGCAAACAGTGGTCACTACTCAGAGCAGTCAGCCTGGGAGGATGCTGGAGTGAAGGTGAGACATGTCCTCACCCTGACAGAAGGTCACCTTCCCTACCCCAGGGACTGTGAGAGCCTGACAGGAAATTCTCATGCTGACGTCAGAGTCCTTCTCCTTAGGACCGTTACAGAAGCTGTCTTCACGCAGAGCCCACAGCATCCAAACCAACACGGCGAATGTTCTCCAGCAGCTACAGATGGCTTTTACTGATTCAAGACCCACGAGCTTTGCAGTGAAGCAGGGACACCAAGAGTGACCGACCGCAGGCTGCCACGGCGCCGTCAGTGCTACGCAGTTCTGGCTGGATTAGTGTTGCAGTTGGAAGCGCAGAACACAGGCAGAATGGACCTCAACAAGCACATAGGCAGTGCAGTTAGGAAGGAATGTCCGTTCCTTTTGTTCCAGTACCTTTGTATAATAAAGTTAATACAAATAATATTAAAAAAAAAAAAAAAAAAGCCGAGCGATTCCTGCAGTTGTCTCAGAATCCAAGCCTGTTGAAGTTCCTCGGGCTGGTGAGCACCAGCATCCTGGGAGTGTCTGGTGTTGTTGCCAAGCCAGCCTGGAGATGCAGCTACCTGAGTTCTTGGCTGTGGGTGACTGTGACTGTCACTCATGATTTCCCGGCTTTCACGTACGTGGGGATGGAGCCGCGCTGGGTCAGCCCTTCGAACCTTTTGTAGGTGTAATTGAGGAAAACCCAGTCTTTGGATTTGTAGTCGGGCTCTGTGGTATTCGGCACTAGGAGGAGAGGAAAGTTAACCGAGGGCAAAAGGATTTCATTAGTGATGTCTGTCACCTGTCACCTCACAGGTGACTGCAGCGTGGAATATGCTAGGAGCCTGTCTTACCTGGCTGTAAGATATCAGACTCGGGGAAGTCATCAAAGTTTGAGGTGTCGTCAATGCTCTTGATTTCTATAGGGATGGCTGCTGGCCTTTCCCTGAAAGAGGCAATTCATCATCCATGGTAAATTTTCTTGAACTCCTGCCCACCACTCCATGGGACAGGAAACCCAAGGGTGTCTGCTATGGATCTGAACAGTTAGGTGGATGTCAAGATAGCTGACTGTAATTTTTTACTACAATGTTTACATTTACTTGGAAGTTTTACACTCTTGCATGAAGACTTTCTCATGCTCTTCCCCCTGTAGTACTGGAGACTGAACAACAGCAAGGCAAATACTCTACACTAAGACAGTCTTAACCCTTCATGCTATTTTTTGTTCAGGTGAAAAAACAAGACCCAGTGAAAGGAAAATTAGAAGAGAAGGAACTTGGGGTTTTTGTTTGTTTTTCTGAGACAGGTTTTTCTCTGTGTAACCTTGGCTATGCTAGAACTCATTCTTTGGCCAGGCTATCCTTGAACTCAAAGAGATCTGGCTGCCTCTGCCTTCTGAGAGCTGGGATTAAAGGTGTGTGCCACCACCCCCACTAAGAGTCATTTTACTGAGATTTTATAGTGGTATTGAGTATGTGGGAGACAGTGAGATCTATCTAAGTGAGTCAGGGCTACAATCTAGTGAAGATTACTGAACACAGACATCTATCTGCAAAAGAGGGGCTACACATATATTTGTGATAAAATCTGAATGCAGTAACTTGTCAGTCGTATAAATTTTAAGAGAACCAGAAAGGTTAAGTTAAAACACTTTAAGTTCTATTTATCTATTTACTTGCTATGCACACTTGCACTTGCATACATCACAAGTGTAGAGGTCAAAGTACAACGTTCATGTACACAACACATATGCACACACGCACGCGCGCACACTCCAAGTGTATAGTCAAGAGGACAGCGTTCAATGCACACACACATGCACACCGCAAGTGTAGAGGTCAGGGACAACACACACACACACACACACACACACACACACACACACACACACACACACACACACACACACCTGCAAGTGGAGTCAGAGGACAGCATTCAGGGGTTGGCTCTCTCCTCCTACCACGCAGGACCGGGGACTGAACTCAGATCTTCAGGCTTCTCCTGCTGAGTCACTTCAACAGTTCCTTATCAGCTTTTATTTATTTTTTTCCAACAAAATGTTTAAAGGATCTACTAGGTGTTAAGCCTACCAAATTATGAAAGAGCAGGTACTGTCCATGTCTGTGTAAGAGTCATTCTTAAAGAATAATTAACTTACGTGCCTTCCCTAGAAGTCCCACTGTGTGCCCAGTACTCTCACGAGTATAGAATACACATTTTCCATCTTACCCTGAGGAACTGCTAATCTCGTCCATGGTGTGTGGTGGTAATCTAATTGTACTGAAATGTGATTTTGATTGTATGTTAATAAATAAAGTTGCCCAGGGGTCAGAGCTATTAGAGCCATAGACAGAGTGTGGTGGTGGTGGCGCACACCTTTAACCCCATAGATCTCTGTGTGTTCAGGGATACAGCCAGCATTGGAGACATATGCCTTTAAGACCTGGGGGGCTGTACATACAGACAGTGACGAGGCAGTCACGTGTTTGGGTTTACAACCAATGAGAAGGCAGAATGACTATGAAACGACTTACACACAGGAAATAGCTCTCTTTCGTGAAGCTAAGACCACTGCAGGAGGAAGGGTAAGATTTTAGCTCTAAGCTCTGACCTCTTGGTTTTCTCTTTTACATTGGTTCTGTGTTTCTTATTTAATAAGACTGTTGGTTACATCTACAATGGTGTCCTACCTAGAACTTCTAGACCAGGCACGATGACTATGGACGTTTCATTAAGACTCAACTGAGTGGAAAGAGGGGCCTGTGTGACCCAACCTTCCCTGTCCCTACGGTGCTGTGAGTTTAGGCAGCTGCCTCAGCTCTGTGACAACAGGTGACATATGTCTCAGCTGAGGCAGCTGCCTCTTGTTTAGCCTTACAGTGGTTCTCAACCTCCCTGACACTGCGTCCCTGTAATACAGTTCCTTGTGCTGTGGAGACTTCAACCATAACACTTTCCATTACTACTTCACAACTGTAAATTTGCCGCTGTTATGATTCATTATATAATAGGTGTTTTCTGATGGTCTCAGGCAACCCCTGTGAAAGGGTCCTGACACACAGGTTGAGAACCACTGGTCTAGAAGAATCAGAGGCACACTCACCACAGATTCAGAAGCTCACTGCTCAGCCCAGGCCTCAGAACATACCTGATATGCCCCCAGTCTACACCCTCAAAGAAGGGGTGACCTTTGATCTCTTCTACACCACCATTCCCAATTCTGTTCTCAGAATCAGTACAAAATCTAGAAAGAGAAACCAAGTATTAGTCACATTTTTCACTTAAAACACTCTAATGTATTACTTCAAATATTTTCAGGAAGTATTTTAATTTAGTTATTGAGTTTACTGTGGGAACATGGGGAATATAAATCACCTACAAGCCTACCAATCAGATACCCAAGAAACATTCTGAAGCCATTTCTTTTCATCTCTTGTAATAATATTAAAAACACTGTCGACACAATAATGATCAAAGACTTTTTTTTTTCACTTAATACACCAAGAAAATTTCCCAATGCTGTTCAGTATTTTCCTGTGAGGTAATTTTTTGAGACCTGTGTATGGAGACATCAGAGTGTTACATCCATAGCTGCTGCTGAAGACTTATATGAGTTCCAATTTTTCACAACTAAAATAATACAAGAAGCATGCCTAACTCTTTGCCCCTACATGGTTATATGCTCTATTAAGTTGCTAGAAATAAAACTGCTGGTCAAAGGTCACATACAGTTTAACAATTTTATACAATATGCTGCCAGCTGGCCACCCACAAGGGTTGTCACAGTTCATATCCTGTTGTGGGATATTTGTACACTGTGTGAAGATATATTGTTGTGATTGGTGTAATAAAAAGCTGAACAGCCAATAGCTAGGCAGGAGATAAAGGCAGGACTTCCAGGAAGAGAAAAGAAGAGAAGGAGGAATCTAGGAACACAGGAGAAGCCAGGAGATATGGAAAAGAAACAGGAGGTACAAGGAGAGGTAACACCACGGCATAGAACATAGATTAATATAAATGGACTAATTTAAGTTGTAAGAACTAGTTAGAAACAAGCCTAAGCTATGGGTCAAGCTTTCATTAATAAGAAGTCTCCATGTCATTACTTGGGAGCTGGCTGGAGGGACAGAGAAAGCCCTATTACAACATCCCTTCTTCCCCTCACAGCAGTGCAGACACTTCGTCTGAGCAGTCTTCTGCGTAGGTTCCTGTGTGCTCTCATGGCAGGAGCTTCTGCTTCTAATACATTTAGTCTCCATTCGTTCCTGACACACTCAGTCCTTGAAGTCTAAGAGAAGTGACACTCTGATAATATTACCAGTTGTCCAACAAGATCTCTCTTCTGAACCTCATTGTTCCACAAACTTGAAGTATTTGCATTTTGTAGGGAAGGAAAAATAGGTAGTTAAGGGCATTTGCTGCTCTTGCAGAGGACCTGGGTTCAACTCCTAGCACCCACACTAGGTGGCTCACAACTGCCTACAAGTCCAGTTCCAAGGGATGGATCTTCTAGCCTCTGTGAGCAAGTGGTACCCAAACACTTACACATAAAAATAAATAAAATCTTTTTTTTTTTTAAAGTTTGAATTTTGTAAATCCTTTTTTAAAACTGATCAGATCAGTGGCATTCTCCCTGCAAACACCTGCCCTGCCTCAGAAAAATGGATCATTTGGGCACTGGGAAGTTTTAAGAGTCACTAACCTGAGAATCAAGTCCTTGGCTTTCTCAGAGACAGGCACTTCTGGAGGAAATGCCAGTGTCTCCTTCCAGCTCATAACTTTTCTGTATGTCTCCTGAGGGGTTTCAGAGCAGAAAGGTGGGAAGCCTGGGTGTCAGGGAAACAACAAAAATGCATCAGCTTTTGTCATCAGTTCAGACCTACAAGTATGTGCCATGGGAAACAAAACCCAGAGTGCTCTGAAGTAACACTAGCATGCATCAATTTACTATAGAATTACTAACGAAGTCTGTCTTGTCTTATCTGAACCCTACATATAGAATTTGATAAAGGAAGCCAAGCTAAATAACTATCTTCCTACCGTAGGGTCCCTTGGCAGTTTATTGGGGACTTAACAATATGTATTTAACATTGAAGAATGTGAGAAACAGATTCAAAATGGCTCTGCTATTTTCGTGTTTAATAGCTGTAACATGGTATGTTCCAACAATGGCACCAAAAGAGATATGATCATGCACATAAACAGAACCTACCTATTAGCATTTCATACATGATCACTCCCAAGGACCACCAGTCACACAGTGTGCTGTAGCCAGTCTGCATGAAGACCTCTGGAGCAATGTAGTCTGGTGTTCCGACTGTGGAATATGCCTACAAAGGAACAGCTTGTCAAACTGGCATTCTGAACCTCTTAAGGATCACATGAGTGTGGATTACTACAGGAGGAAACACTGGACACAGGACAAGTTTTCACTTATTGGTGACTTTGTGTGTTACATGTAAAGCTGACTGACAGATGCTGAGTCAGGCACTGTGTATAGAACACAGGGTTCTGGGCCAAGGAGAGGCCCTTTGTCCACTTCAAAAGGAAGGAAAAGCGAGCCTGACTTCCCTGCTTACTACTCATGTGAGCCACTCTCTGAACCTTGGCTTCTGCTCCCCAAAGATCCAACAGCTTCATCTGAGGTAAAACAAGAAAAGGAACATGCTCTGCAAGCCACCTTCCTTAGAACGTAATTCCAGTGTGTCACACCATGAGCTGTGTGCACGTTCCTCTTCAGTCCACATCAAACCCTACAAAATGATTCTGAAAGTCAGCAGCTCTCAACAGGCGCACTACTGTAGAAATCACTGAAAATGTGACCGCAGACGTCACTTCAAGGACCAGGGGACGAGAACGGCACTTGGTGGGCTGAAGGGATCTCCTGACCCAGACATCGATCTCTGGGAAGCCACTGACCTACGATGACTCTCAGTAGGAGATACAGAAATCCTCTGCCATGTTTTTATGTATTTTTTAAGATAGGGTCTCACTGTGAAGCCAGGCTGGACTCAGAACTCAGGATGCCCCTGCTGCAGTCTGTTAAGTAGTGGGTCACAGGTGAGCTCTCACACCCACGCTCACCCCTCAGACAAACTTTTAAGCAGTATTCACTTTTTCCCCTTTAACAACAGGAAGACTGTAATCGTTTCTCAAATATAACAATCTGATTTAAAATGGCATAATCAAAACCAGAATGAAGTTTTCCTCATTAATGCACAGCTAAGCACACTTTTAAAACTCTGAAAAGTGGGCTGGAAAGATGCTCAGCAGTTAGGAGCACTGACTGCTCATCCAAAGGTTCTGAGTTCAATTCCCAGCAAACACATGGTGGCTCACAACCATCTTAATGAGATCTGGTGCCCTCTTCTGGCCTGCAGGTATACATGCAGGCAGAAAATTGTATACATAATAAATAAATCTTAAAAAGTAACTCCAATGAACAAACGAACTGAAATATGCCAAGGTCATTCATTCAGTTGTGTTGGGGGCGCCAGGCTGCTGTCACCTGACTCTAGCACGTTCCAGTCAGCAGCTTTGTCATTGCTTATTGAACTGACAAGTGTCTGCACGGTCTGGGCACTGTACAAGGAACCAGGGGAAACAAAGTCAAAGCCGCATTGCTAACTGCAAATGTTCACACCTCAGTTAATTACATATAATTACATAGTTCTTATATCCACTAAAACCACAGGGAAACAACAGCGAGAGTGACAGACACCCCAAGCTAACTGTAAATGAGAATAGGTCTCCTCTGCAGTCCTCTGCAGGCAGTAAGGGAATAAGGCCATGGTGAAAACAGGAGTTCAAAGAAAGGTGTGGGTTAAAACAGCTGAGTCAAACACCAGGATGAGAAACACAGAGCTTGTGCCTGGTTTGGACACAGCCAAGGGCACCTGTGTTAAAACAGAGTTTAAAAGAGACTTAGGATCTGAAAGAAAGGCCAGTGTTGGTGGCCGCTGTGGCTCCAGGAGACCCTCTCCTTCAGGAGTGTATGCTGGGTTCTACAGTTCTTTACATCTGCTTGCTTCTAACTCACAGCTGAGGTAGAGATAGCTTCAAGCAAACCCCACCTACCTCAGGAAGGACACCCCAGACCAACCCACTGACCGCTAACCAAGCACAACTGTGGCTTCTTTTTCGTGGGAACAGACATCTTAGTGTAATCACTGCAAGGTGGAGGCAGCAGGCTGGTCGAGTGCTCAACAGTGACGACGGTCACGGGCAGGACCTAGTAAAGCTGCAGGCAGAGACGGAGAGAGCGGTCTCCAAGCACAATTAAATGGGCGGGCAGCATGTGAAGAACTCCACAGGCTCAGCCCATGACAGCCCGGAGAACTGGCCAGCTTCAGCAACCAGTTCCTGCCACAGCCCTACCCGAGGAGTCTCAACAGCCGGTCCCCACTCCACTGGGCTTCTCCCACTTTTCCTCCGCTCTCGCTGTTCTGAAACCTCCTTAACAAACCAGGCTGCTGCTCTGTTCACTCCCACACGTGTCTGAGTCTTCCATCTTCACTGGCAGCAGAGCGTGAGCTCTAGAGTCGCTGTCCCAGCCGACCTCGGGACTCGAGGTCCAGGGCACAGCATTCCTCAGAACTCACCAGCTGTCTCCTGTTCTTCTTCCAGGTCTCCGCTTTCCGCTTCGAGTTCATGTTCTGAAACGCTAATTTAACAAGACACAACTGCAATCAGAGGGGCAAACTGACAAAATAGGAAACTCACACCTACATCTGGAACGTGGGCAACTCAGGAGGAGGCTGGAGCCTCCCTGCCTCACAGAACTGAAGTTTCAGAGCCAACGGGAAAGTGTAAACTTACAGAAGTCCCTTGGTGGGTTGTGCGAGAGGTTTCTGTAGAATTCAGTCCTGTGCGCTTTCTTTAATCCCGTGCACAGACCGAAATCAGACAGTTTCACATGCCCCTAGAGCAACAAATTACAGTCAGGCCAACTACGTTAACTCTGAAAACAAAAAAGCCTCATTGTAAACTCCTTTAATGCAATTATTATAAAAAAATTCTTAACCTAAAACATATATAGCTGAAAATGTGAGATCATGCAGGTTTGATGATTTTCCATTTTAATGGAAAACAGAGTGAGTTTTTTTTTAAAAAAAAGCCATTTCCCGTAATGTTATTTCAGAACAGTCACTTATACATGCCTTCTATGAAAAAACTTAGTTAATCCAAAACAACCTAAACCATGGCTGCTATCTGTAGCCAGGAAACCGGTAGTTCTTCATGGTGAGAAGCCTAAGGATTCTCTGGCCCCTCACGTGCCTTGGCATCCAGTAAAAGGTTGTCTGGCTTGATGTCCCGGTGGATGAAGCCCAGCTGGTGGATTGCGTCGATCGCCAAGACTGTCTCTGAGATGTAGAACTGTGTCTCCTCTTCCGTCAAGGTGTCCTTCTTCATCAGCAGCGTCATCATGTCACCTGAGTTATCAAAGCACCAAGGTACTGCAAACTGGGGTGATTCACCCCAGCTTCCTGCATCCACCCCAATTTCTCCCTTTTCTGCCTCTGCCTCCTTCAGCGAACCCTACCGTGCGCGTCACCACAACCGGCTCTCACTTTTCTGATATCCTCCTCCTGCTTTGCTCACCCACAGGGGTCAACAGCTTTAATCTTTGCTGGTGTGAGATGACAGACCGGAAGCCTCAGTCACAGGTCCACTTTTCATGAACGTTAGTTACTGTCTGGAACCCTAGTGCTGGCATTATGGGTGTGTGGTAGCACATACCTAGTTAAAGGGACTCTCTTCGGACTCCCTTCATACGTACAGACTATGTCAGATCTGCAGTTTCATGATTTGCCCCGTACCTCAAACCACCCTGCAAAGTGCATGCAACGGTGCCAGTGGGGTGCATGTGAAGTTACCAGGGGCAGAGCAGAGTTCAGAAGCACGAAGCCTGAATAAGCACACCTGGAAACCAGAATTCTGTCTTTCTGGATACAGACTTACGTCCCTTAGCTCTACCCTGGGCTGCAGTGAACACAGAACGACAGTAAATAAAATGTCATCCTAATAGTCCTTCAAAACTACATGGTCTGTGGCCAAATCATCTTCCACTGTTCTGGGAGGAAATACTGAAAAACGATGGCTATGTATAAACGCAATAAAATTCAGTAGTAAAACTAGCTGACATTCTTACTGCATAGGCAGATAAAATTATTCCATATGAAGATGAGCTCTGGTCTGCCTGCCTCTGCTATTTACCTCCAGGAAGAAACTCCATGATCAGGTAGAGATTCCGCTTGTCCTGAAAACTGTAGAACATCTTCACCACCCAGGCACCGTCTGCTTCCACCAAAATGTCTCTTTCAGCTCGAATATGAGCCACCTGGATGAGCATGTTTTAAAAAGATAACTGACCTGTTCCAATCATCCATCCCCAACAGTCATGCAGGAAGTCTGCAGTTTTGATCCTCTCATTAATATGCAGACCCGAGGAAGCAGTGTGCTTGAGCTTATCTCCTTAAGCCTCTCTGCAGAGTTAGCGGACTCTGGTGTGCTGAGATGGGACCAGTGCTCTTACAGGAGGAGACAGCAGCAGTGCTCATGGGATCCCGTGTCGGCTCCATCAGACACTAAAAGCTACTGAACATTTTGACCTCGAACAGAACCACGAAAAAGCAATGGCTTCTGTTGTTATGGTCCAGCCTGTGTTGCTTTCTAATAGTAACTGAGCAAACTAACACAGACATCATAAAGTTGGAGAAGCTGAAATCTGAACCTGAAAACTGAAAACACTAGAATAGACTATAAATTTAGTAATATCTAGTAAGCTAGCTTTCTTTTTATAACTTTCAACATCAACACTACTCTGAGTCCTCTCACGAGAGGCCTTGGGCACTGTACGTGTGTGAGACACACCTGCTCCTTTTCAAGCATGTCAGCTTTCCTCAGGATCTTCATGGCATAGATGTGCCCCGTGTCCTTCTTCTGGACCAGCCGCACCTAGAGCACAAACATAAGTGCTTCCTTTACTGAACCTTAGAATTTACCACCAACGATATCAAAATAATTATAAACCCCACACACACACACTGATGGGGAGCAGGGGTCTAGTGTAGCCCAGGCTGGCCTTGAACTTATTACTATTTGGTGTGGATGATCTTAAACTTCTGATCCTCCTGCCTCTATCTCCCAAGTGCTAAGATATAGAGGTGTGCCATCACACTTTGTTTCTTTTTTTAAAATTTTATTTATTTAATGTTTTTATTTTATAAATAGCTTAATTTCACATTATCAGCCACAGATTCCCCCGTCCTCCCTCCTCCCACCCCCAAGCCCCCCCAATGCATCCCCCCATTCCCACCTCCTCCAAGGCACACCTGATATCTATGATACTGAGTCATACAGGGCTCTTTGTGGATACTAGGCAAGCACTCTTACCAATTGACCTATGACCTCGGAGCTTAGGAACTATATTTAAACATTTATTGCATCTACTTTCAAAAGTGGTGACGTGAACAAAGCAGCTCACCTCTCCAAAAGCTCCTCTCCCTATAACCTTCAGAGACTCAAAGTCATCCAGGCCAAGTCTGGTCCTCTTGAGCCGTAAGAACTCTGTTTCTTTACGAGCATGTTGTGATCGGCGTAACTTTTTCTATTAAAAATAGAATTTAAAAAGATGATTTTAAAGGAAGGCTGTTTCAAAGGCATGCATAATGTTAAAAGATGATACACATAAAACAAAGACAGGTGGTGGCAGCGCATTCCTTTAATCCTAGCACTCAAGAGGCAGAGGCAGGTGGCTCTCTGTGAGTTCAAGGCCAGCCTGATCTACAGAGTGAGTTCCAAGACAGCCAGGGCAGCACAGAGAAAGCTTGTCTTGGAAAAACAAAACACAGCATAACAAACAACAAGAAACAAAGGCATAGTGACTGGAGATATGGCCCAGCAGCTAAGACCCGCGATGTTCTTGCAGAGATATAAGCTCAGCTTCCCGCACCCACATTCAGCTACAGGGGCATCAGGTGATTCTGGCCTCCTCAGGAATTGCACTCTCAAGCACAAAGTCACACTCACTCACACACATAAAATTTTAAATGAATGAATCGACAGAGGTATGGTATCATAATTATCATATGCTTGTCTATAATCTAGTTGCCAACATCAATTATTTATTAAGTAAGGGGAGAATTAAACAGTATTAAGAAAACATTTCTAAACAATTGTTAAGTCTGTACCCATGAAAGGAGACTTTATGGACTACGTCATCTTAACCAGTTTATTATATGTGTAAGTCGCTGCCTTCTGAGTGGTAACTTAACTCACAAAAATAAAACTTAGATAATGCAAATGCCCAGAGTTTATTTACTTATTTTTGAGACCGGATCTCACTGAGCAGCCCAGGCTTGACTGGAACTCATGCCCCAGCTCCTGAGTGCTGAGGTTAAAGGCTCTGCTTCCTGACACTTATTTTCACTTTGTCAGGAAATGTGCTCCAATTCTTTACTTTCCTAGGTGCTGTTATAGCTACTGAAACCTGTGACCAGAAAAAGTTACACAACATCAGTGTTTCCATGGGAATTTCTTAGAGTAAAACTGATTCTTGCATAAATTTCAGCAAACTGTGTGAAACTTCACACAACTTTTTAATGACATGAAATTGCAAAATAAAATCACAAAGTTGCTATGGGATGGTCTGTATGTCAAATTGCTCTGATTAGTCAATAAATAAAACACTGATTGGCCAGTGGCTAGGAAGAAAGTATAGGAGGGACTAACAGAGAGGAGAAAAGAAAGAACAGGAAGGCAGAAGGAGTCACTGTCAGCTGCCACCGTGACAAACAGCATGTGAAAATGCCGGTAAACCACGAGCCACATGGCAAGGTATAGATTTATGGAAATGGGTTAATTTAAGCTATAAGAACAGTTAGCAAGAAGCCTGCCACGGCCACACAGTTTGTAAGCAAAATAAGTCTCTGTGTTTACTTGGTTGGGTCTGAGCAGCTGTGGGACTGGCAGGTGACAGAGATTTGTCCTGACTGTGGGCAAGGCAGAAAAATTCTAGCTACAAATGGCGCCCAACATGGGGCAAGAGTGTCCACCTAAAACCTGAGAAAAAAGATTCTAAAAGGAAGCTAAAAACAGTTCCTAGTTGTTTCTCTCAAGTTAGTGGCAGCCTGCATGTTTGAACTACTATGGCGGGTTCCTGGCATGTGTGCTCGACCTGCAGTTTGGCGGGAATGAGGCCTCTGCAAGTGGCACATTAAACTGCCTTTGCTAGTACAAAACAAAAAGAGGTTTCTGGGCTACACGCTGCGTTAATAGAAGCATAGACCCACTATTTCTGAGAGTTGATGGCTCCCAGGGCTGGCAAAAAACGTACCACCACCATGTTGGGAAGCTGAAGTGGGTGGAGCCAGCAGCCACAGCGCTGTTTCAGTCTTAGAATGCTGCAGTTTAAAGCAATAGGCTCAAGGTAATATAAAAATAAGCCACGTAAAGATGGATACCACACAGAAAATCTGGATTATGTTCTCTTTGATATTCGTAACGGAAGAAAAACATTTGATTGCAAAAGCTGTTGAGTTATGCCAAAATGTGTATTTTAAAAGGTACCTTGACTTTAAAATTTGGATATAAGGATATGTTGCTTTGGAAAAGAGGCTCTGCTTTTGTTTCCACAGAAAGCCAGAGGCTATGGATTTGTTCCAGATTAAGATACATCAGGTTTGACCAGCCAAGACCCCCTGAAAGGTCTCCGATGACACCAAGGCTCAGATGATCCAACATCCAGAACCGTTTCAAGGCAACTGGTTCAGACAATACACCCTCATGGACTACTCCATAATCTTAAAATTTTCTTTGTGTTCCCATAAGATACAGCACCCCCCTCCAGCAGGAAGTAGTAAGAGAAGTTACACCCAAATTCCCAAATATACCAAGCTGGCTTTGGAGATGTGTAAAAGTTAAAACCTTCCTCTTTAAAAAAAAAAGAAAAAGAAAAGAAAAGAAAAGGGGAAATGCTGTGGGGTGGTCTGTATGTCAAATTGCTCTGATTGGTCAATAAATAAAACATTGATTGGCCAGTGGCTAGGCAGAAAGTATAGGTGGGACTAACAGAGAGGAGAAAAGAAAGAACAGGAAGGCAGAAGGAATCACTGCCAACCACTGCCATGACAAGCCGAATGTGAAGATCCTGGTAAGCCATGAGCTATGTGGCAAGGTATAGATTTATGGAAATGGATTAATTTAAGCTATAAGAACAGTTAGCAAGAAGCCTGCCACGGCCACACAGTTTGTAAGCAATATAAGTCTCTGTGATTACTTGGTTGGGTCTGAGCGGCTGTGGGACTGGCGGGTGACAAAGATTTGTCCTGACTGTGGGCCAGGAAGGAAAACTCTAGCTACACAAAGTATCACTAAAATATCCAAGTTAGCTGGGAATGGTGGCACACACCTTCAATCCCAGCACTCAGGAAGCAGAGGTAGGTGGGTATCTGTGAGTTCTAGGTCAGCCAAGACTATATAGAGACCCTGTCTCACAAACAAAACAAAACCAACCAACCAACCAACCAAAAACCATCCAAGTCAATAATATCACAGTAATAATCTGATTCAGCAAAGATAACAAAATAGGAACTATTAATAAGCAACATTTTGAAATACCCAAAGGCTGCATTGGAAATCATTCATTTTCTTGTTCTAACCTCATTGACTCCTAATCTAATAAAAGGTTCATGACAGATAGTTCCCAGCAGGGGCAGCACACAGTGGGATATAAAACCACTGAAAGTATTCAACTCCTACTCACATTTGAATGACTCCATCAACCTTTCGTAGGTTGAGTTCAGGTACACAAGTCCTAACAACCCATCAGCTCAGACAAACTGCCCCCAAACACAGTTCTAAGCAGGGCCACTCACCTATCCTGCGCCCGTCTGTCTGCTGTAGATAGTTAGGTGTCTAATTAGAAGTCCGTGTATCATCAAAACAGAATTCTACTACTTGTAGCAGAAATAGGAGGGAAGAAAGAAATGTCTTCAGTTCACACAGTTCACTGAAGCTGCATTAATTTTTTACTTTAAATTTGTTTTATTTTGTACATAAGGATACTTTGCCTAAATGTATGTCTGTGCACTATGTGCATGCCTGGTGTGCACAGGTCAGAAGAGGACGTCAGATCCCCTGGAACTAAAGTTACTAACAGTTGTGAGCTGACATATAAGTGTTATTAATTGAATCTGGGCCCTCTGCAAGAGCAGCCAGTGCTTTTAATTGCTGAGCCTTCTCTCCAGTCCCCAATTTCATTTTGATGTGTGTGTGTGTGTGTGTGTGTGTGTGTGTGTGTGTGTGTGTGTGTGTCTGCGCTCGCGCATATCTTTGGGTAGGAACCAGGCAATAAAGGAATGAAAATATAGTAAATTCTGTTTTACATGTTTACTTTAAAAAAATAGACTGCACTTATCTTGGAGTTTGGAAAACTTTAATCCTTTAAATAGTCTAATGCAGCTAAAATCACATCTATATGTTGTGGAATATTAGTTTATAATGTGCTATATTTGTTTATGCTGTAAATTATTTGTTTAATGATGCAAAGATGTGTTGTATGCTTTTGTGTTGCATTTGTTTAACTCTGTGAAGCTGTGTTACTTTGTCTAAAACACCTGATTGGTCAAATAAAGAGCAGAATGGTCAATAGCAAGACAGGAGATAAAGGATAGACTGGGCTGCCAGGCAGAGAGAATAAATAGAAGAAGAGTGAAAAGGTGGAATGAGAAAAGGAGGAGAGGAGGACACCAGGGGCCAGCCACTTAGCTGCACAACCAGCCACAGAGAAGGAAGGAAAGAAAGGAACACAGAATAGAGAAAGGTAAAAGCCCAGAGGTGAAAGGTAGATCGGATAGTTTAAGAAAAGCTGGCTAGAAACAAGCCAGGCTAAGGCCAGGCATTCATAAGAAAGAATAAGTCTCTGTGTATTTATTTGGAAGCTGGGTGGCAGGCCCCCAAAGAGCAAAGAGTAAAAATAACCAACTACATACCAACATGAAGTTCGAATTTCCATAGGGCCCAAGAAAGCTTTAAAAAAAAAAAGGACAGGGATCCTTACAGCAAGCCCTTGAGCAGCCAGTACATTAAGTAGTGTGTGTGTGTGTGTGGGGGGGGGGGAGTTAAGCAAAAAATGCCACAGCTCAACCATCAGCATTTTAGAGTTCTGGGTGGTTGAATGCAGTTCCCAGTTCTGCACCCTGACCAGGCCTCAAGCTTTAGGCTTGGCAGTCACACACCCAAGAAGCCAGTAGAGCCAGCTGCTAAAGCTGGCAAAAGTCACCCCTTAGCAGTTTAAAGGCTCATGTAGTTAAAAAAAAAAAAAAAAAAAAAAAAAAGACTAGAGATACAGAGTAAAAGAGGTCCAGATGGAAAAAACCTCTAAACAGGTTCCAGTGTGTTTAACAATGTACATAGGCTTAAGAAAAGAAAAAGGATATAGACAGTCATAAAAAGAAGTAAATAGTTTAAAAATAATAAAGTTTTTAAAGAGAAAAGTAAAGTAATATAAAAATAAGCCCCATAGAGATGGAAAATACACTGGGAGCTGGATCCTGTATGTTACTGTTTTGATTTTGAATATTTTGATTGCTGATAAGCAAACATCAG